CACCAGCAGCCGCACTGCGGCTAGTAGTCTAGGCAGATAGCATGCCAGCAAAGACTTCAGTGGCCATTTCTGGCTCATTAGCCGTCATCAGCCAGTCATACCCAACCACAAGTTGTATTCCACCCGAGACTCGAACCAGCGACCTTTTAATCAGAAGTCTAAGGCTCTAACCATTGAGCTATGGGCTTGTTGTCTTGCCGGTTTAGGTAGGGGAGTATTGGACCTAGTTGAGGAACGTTCACCGATCGCTAACGGGACTCACTCGTCCGGTTCTGTCTGGTTTATATCTTCCGAGCCTCCGTAGGGTTCAAGCCTCGAGTGCGCCACCGTTTGGGGTTGCGTATGACTGACTGACCACGGCTAATAAGCCAGAAATGGCCATTTCAGTCTCCCTGGTCTTTGTTTGAAATGCTATCTGTTAATTTGAGAGTGTCCTTTAATAGCACTTAGTTCTGCAGTGGAACATTTTTTGGGGATACAAGTATGTTGCATTGTACAATATCATAGGGGCTCTCTACATGATGCCAACAGAATTCATTGCTCATGTGAACCAGTGCGCTTCATTCAACCATCAAGCTTGGTCAGTGGACGTTGCGAAAAGTTTCGCTGTGCCAACCTGCATCATACCCTTTAGGCATACGTTGCCATCGCCATGGATCCATCTGTAGGTGGTGTTCTTTTGGTGCTCATGATATTCACAGACCACTGCCCGTATTGACAGGCTATGCATCAGGAAAAGAGCGACATATAATGAGAGCCGTGTGCACGCCTTTGCAGCCTCTAGGAGATGGATAGGCGGAAACTCTACTTGAAAAGTCAGACATGCAATAAACCTCTCTTAGTGAGGTCTAACCCTCCGTCTAAATGGATGTAATTTGGAAGTTATCCTCCACCCTAATCATCCTTCTCTTCACAATCCTTATAATGTCTGGCAGACGCAATAATCGCATGCAAAAGCCAACGACACAGACCCTGTTGGTGGGGAGAAAACGAGAAACAGGCAAGAGGAGAAACGGAGGGGGGGGCAGGGCGGTTAGCCAAAAGTATTAAGACAACCTGTCCACTTTAATGATCCCCGTCAGCCGTACAGGCTTGCAGAGCCTCCAAGGGGTTATCGAGGTGTGGTTGAGGCTAATACAGTTAACCCTAATGGCTGCGATCTTCCAGGCCCGGTTCTTTAGATGAAGACAGAAGTCATGAGGAGGTCAGATTGGTAGGGAAAGTGTATTTTTTAGAGAAAAGTTGAAGAATAGGTTGTACGAGGTTTGACTGTCAGAGCACACGTCCTGCCGCTAGAGCGGCGTGGCCCAAAGTTATGCCTGGGGGCGGACACCGCATTGTGGTCTGTTTTAGTGGGCCAAGGATGTCGAGGTTGGCACACACCTAAAGGCTAAGAGACCTGCAGATGGTTCTGTCAGCGGAAGCTCTGAATCAGATCGATAAGCATCACTGCAGCACACAGGTGTGAAAGTCGGGGTAGAAGAGAACGAGAATATATGGGACTAATCTACTAGTAATTAACGAATGCGTACAGAATAATAAAATAATATGGGATAGAGAATGGCGTTACATAGATACAAGTCCCATCTGGAGTGGAGGATGTTCTCTTAAGTCTGATCAGTTACCTGCTGTGGCTGACTGCAGGGGCGGGACTGGAGCGGTGACACGGAATGTACGACAGCGATTCGAGCGACGACGACGGCGGGAAGGGCGTCAGCTGCTGCGAGGGACAAAGGCACCGGTTTCTTCACTGACACTTGATCACATCATCTCCATCCTGGGTCCGCGCCAAAAGTGACGACCTTGGTGTACTTAAACA